TCTGCACTTTAAATCTGTCGTTTCATTACACCGGGAATGGAAAGTCCCTAATTTTCCCAGGCTACACATTTCCTCTGTTTTTTAACCTTCAAATACCACATGGATTTATGCCTCTGAGTACCTGCTGGTTAAGTTTCTCATGTAGATAAAAATGTTGGAGTTCTGTTTATGGAAAGAATTTACAACTTTATGGACTGAGGGCAATTGAGAGAGGCTGTATGACTGAGGGCAATTGAGAGAGGCTGTATGTACATTAACAGCTATAGTCTGACTAGTCCTGAAGGAACCTTCCAGGTCTTCAGGGTTAAAAAGAAAAACATCATGAGATAGTTTTAGATTTTTTTTTCCCCCTTTCCTTTCTATTTTGGACAGCACTACTTTCACCTTTATTGACAGTATCTCTTCTAGTGCTCCAATCCAAAATACAAAATTCATATATGTATCACATGCTGCTGTTCTTATTCCTTTATCCATTGAAAGGGTTAAATCTACTGCTTCCCCTATATTTTTCATGTACCATTCGTTGGGAGAGAGGTGCTCAGCAAAGCAGACAGAAAATAATGTCTCCTGCAAGAGAAAATCCGATGTAAGGTCAGGGGAGGGAGGCTGTGGAGGAACAGTGAGTACAGGAAGCAATACTTTGGTATTGAAATTGGTACAACACGTTTCAAAAACACTTTGTAATTGTTATTTGTATCAGGATGAACTGTGAAACCACAGTATAGGTGTGGGATGTAACCCCTGCTCCTCACAGGTACTTCTGGGTACTGTAATGTTTGGGTGGTGCTGGCTTGGCTGCACTGCTGCTCCTACAAAAATACTGGGTTGTGGACAGTATTGAAGGAAGTCTGTTTTTCTGGAGCTGACAGATTTAAGACCATTGATTAAATGCATTCACAGCTTCTCTACAGAACTGCAGAGCTATCATGATGTGATTATAGGGCAGCTGTGGTCTGGTGGACTCAGAACTCAGAAATTAGGAAATATGAATTGTCTTGATCTGCCACAGTCTGTTTTGTGAGAACTTGGACTGGTCACTTAAAATATTTTGGCTACTTCTTGACAGACCTACTTTGGATGTTTACTTTTTTTGGAGGACTCAGCTCACTCCCTTGACTGTATTGTCCACAGAGAGTGTGGACTGACTGGCTGAGATGCTCAGGCTTCCATCCCAGATGCCTTCATTCAATCAGATAATGGGGCTGATGAGTGCCTGTTGGCCCAGAGACTATTTGAAATTGGTTTATAAAGGCTTAATATATTCAGAATGTCTTGATCAGTCATTCCATACCAAGTTGAATAAGTTTAGGGGGTGCTGATAAATGATAATTTACTGTTCACTCTACAATATGTGTGTAACAAGAGTCAGCCATGTATTAGTCCTTTCTACATCATTTATAAATAAAACTTGAATACCGAGTGTGGCTGAAATCCCCTCAGGTACGACTAAAAGCAGAGATGCAGAGCACTGTCCTACTGTGACACTGCCCTCAGCCCTGGAATCACATCTGGACACACATCACAGCAGCAGGACCCAGAAATAACCTACTGGTTGAAAAGAACGATTCCCTTTTTACCCAGAGTAAAGAAAATCATCCAGCTCTAAGAATAACTCGCTAATCTCACCCCACCGGAGCAGCGCAGGGAGCGCAAAGGAAATTTCCTTGCCAGCTGCTGGGAGAGCCTGTCCCCAAATAGGGCTTTTCTTTTGATAAGGTGCCTCCTCTGCCGGGCTGCTGAACCAGCCTGAATCAGCACGTCACCCTGGAGTGCAGGAAGATCCCGGTCTCCGCCGCTGAGTCACATGAATAACTGGAATAGTTCTGCAAAGCAGAATTAATTCCCAGAACCTCTTCAGGCATATACCAGCAGGCACATGCTTCTGCTCTGGCGTTACTTTACAGCTCAGTGATGTAGCAGAAAGGACACTACTGATATTTTCAATTGAGATAAAGCAGTTTACCTGGTGTTAAGTGTGTTAAACCTTACAAGTTTGTTGTTGACACTCTCCTGCTTCCAAGAAGATTTAGGAATAAGCCAGGACATAACAGAGCTATTAGGGTTAAGCTCAAATCAACTGTGCAATGACTCAGAGCTTGTAGTCCTTTCAAACCAAGTGCTGGGGGGAGAAGCTGCTTATTATTAACTGTTGAGTAGCTCGTGGTTTGTGCAGCCTGTTTAGCCAGCAAAGACATCTATGGAAACTCTCTGGGGGTTTTGATCTATTATACTGTGAATAAAAAGTCTGATTTACAAGAAAACCAAATCAACAGCACTGAGATTGTGGTTTAGCAAAGTCCTTAGACTAAATGCTGGAAATTTGGGCAGAGGCATGAAATTCTCTACAGAACCTTTCAGTAAATGCTGCTGGTATGCTGAAGAAATGAACTTGTCTGAAAGAGGGGAGTGAAGGAAAAAAGCTCTGTAGCAAAGATGGGATCCAGGTGTTTCTCCAAAAAGTGGACAAGGGTGGAGAGCTGAAACAGGGAAATAGGATGACAGAATCACAGGAAAGCAAGGAGAAGGTTGGTTATTGGTTAATGAAAACTGTTGAGGTGTTTTCCACTTAAGCTGTATTTTGTCATCTGAATAATAATGATAAGCTGACCAGACACACAGAAGCATTACTTGTACTTCCACCTGTTGCTCTGGAATACATCATAAATGAATAAAGGATTACCTGTTCTGCACCCCAGCATCAATGATAACAGGAACTGATTACATGGCTTTGATTTCTGCTCTTCATTGTTATAGAATATTAAAATCAAAGTTTTTACCATTTCTCCAGAAAACCTCATGTTTTCTGAGGTTGCTCCTGACCTTTTACTTTCAACAACCATCACAAAAAAATACATGAAATGTAGACATTCAATGCAATTAGGAAACACTACAGAAAAAGAGCTCCAAGCCCAGTGTGTAGAATCTGGATGTCTGTTCTTTATGTTTTGCCCTCTGATGAGCTTGTGCCACTTCCTTGGGCTCCAGGTCAGTACCTTTCCCCTTGGCGTATCCGAAATGAACGCTCACCAAACCCAAATGTTATTTCCGACATCTGTTGCTTGTTTGGATGGCAAAATTTGTGATAACAGTCAGAAGAAAGTAAACAGTCCAGTAGCCATGGAAACCTCATATCCTTTTTTCCTGTTTCTTTTTCTGCTTTTTGCAGTGAATGAGTCGGTGCCGAATCCAGCTGGATGGCAGCCCAGGAGACGGCCGTCCCCAGCTCAGCCACGGCAAGGGACAAGCCCTGCCCAAAGCCAGGAGCTTTCTCTTTGCACACTCTCACCAAAGGACTTTTTTCAGTCCTTTTTTTGGGAAGAGTAGTTCAGTGCCTCAGGATGGGTGACCATTTATTCCCTGGTCCCTCTGGCTATGGCCAGAAGATAAAATACCCCAAACACACAGTAGTGTATCATGACTGGCACCCACACGATTCAGCTCTTTCCCCCATTCCTGCATCCCAAGCAGGTGGCCTCATCCAGATGGTCTACAGGGAACAATCCTTGGACTTTGATGTATTCCAAGGCATCATCTGGGAGAGCTGGGACAGTGCCATGTCAGGGAGGGTTCTAAAAGCAACACAGCTTGAGGGATCATGGATTAAACTGTGCCCTTCTCCTTCTGGGTTTGCAGAATAGATACAACCTCTATGAAAGTTGTGAACAGAGACTTTATGGTTCAGACAACAGATCTAGATGAGCAGTAAAGCTCAGTTTATGTTCCAGAATGGATCAGGACAGGTATTTATTGTAGTAAAGCCCCCAGAGTGCCATAGTTAGTGTAATGCTTTTTTTACAAAATTTTACAACCAGTTTACAGAATTCCACAGAGAAGGTTGTCAAGATGCAATCTTTAATATATTCCAGTCCAAATCTCTGTGTGGCTTCTAAATATGTGCAGTAAGTGTCTCTAAATGGACTTGTCCCTGGTCACATGGGCACTGTGTCATGCCAGCATTGATATCATCATTGGATTATCCTCGTTAACACTTTGAATCTCTGTAATGCACTTTGAAGTCTTCAGAGGAAGAGCTTCATGGGAATATTTGGAGAGCCTGATTCAGTTCTTAATTGGACTGACTCATGTTGAGTCACCAGGATATCCATTAGCTGCATCTTCAAAATCCAACATGGAGATTTTCAGTGGTCCGTGAGAGAATCAGACACCCCCAGCAGCTGCTGAGATTCCCTAGGACTGGGAAATCTGCTTACATTGTAGAAAGTGCTGATTTCTGGTGCACCAACCAGCACAGCTTTGGCTGCCAAGTCATCCCATTTCTGTGTTCTCCTGATGCCTGGATGACCAACTGCTTGCCAGGAAGCTCTTGGAAATATCTCCTCCTCCCTGGCTGCAGCATCACTGGCGTCTCTTACACACACAGAGCCCACCCACACCTCCCCCTCCTGCAGGGAGAACTGGGCTACCAGAAGCAAAGTAAGAAATGCAAGAAGCATTCTCCTTTTCATTTCTAGGAAAGGCTTTTTACTCCATAAATGCTCCTTGAACAAAACAGCAAAAGGCAGTGACTAAGGCACCTGATGACTAAAATAATTCAGGTTGTGGGAAGCAGCAGGATTTGATGTTGAATACAAATCTGAGTGTGGTTCACTTCACCCAGCTCGAGCCATGTGAAGTTAAGCATTCAGCCTAAACAACCCATCCAAGTCCTGAGCTGTTGGCAGAGGGGATAAGCACCGAGAGCTGACTCATCCCCCCTCACTTTGTTCTGCTGGGCTGAAATGAGTTGTCCTTTGAAGTTGCTTCCTAATAGCACTTCCTAACACTCAGCAAAACATGTAGAGAATCTGGAAAGGGCAGTTTATTGATGTTAGACAGCTGAAGTTAGGTAAGATAAAGCTACTACTGATACACTGCAATGTCCCAAGGACCACAGGTCCATAATCACAGATTCCATGGAGGCCAGCAATGGTTCACTTAGCCTTGTTCCAGTCTGCCCATACACTCAGAGTGTCTTAGCATTGTTTTTTCTCTCTTTATAGGTGGCATTTGTAGCAGATTTTTGGCTCGTAAGCACTCCTTTTGGAATAGAAAAAGAGAAGACAACTGCTCTACAGACCACCTTAGGTATCTCTGTCTTGTAAGTTTCTTTCCTAGAGGAAAAAATATTTGCTTCATTCTGTAGTAACAGCAGCACAGAATGGATGGCAGAGGAGAAAACGAGCAATTCAAACTTTTAGAATAATGAAGTAAAAAAAATTGGGCCACTCTTAAATTATATTAATAATATTGAACCCCATTTTAATTATAAAATTAAACTTTGGCAAACTTGGCCAAACCCTTATCTGTTCTAGACCTACTTTGAGGATGTAAATCCTGGCATCATTATGGGGCTTTTCATCAGGTAGATTCAGTATAGGACAAGACTTGCAAACCTTTTTGTGATGCAGTAAAAAATATCCTTACAGAGTGTTTTCAAAACTAGGGGTAAAGTACTAATGCCACAGCCTTATCTAGGGTGTGATTTTCCTTTTTCATTTTGATAGAGTAAAAGTCTAAAACTAAGAAAATGAGCTCTTAGGCTCACTAAAAAAAACCTCATGAAACAATGTAAGTGATCTGTGACAACTCTCTCTGAGCAGCAGAAGGTTTGACTTGAGAATAACTGTGAACAATTAAATATTGAATATAATGAGAAGAATATTTTCTTTGTGTTTCTTACGACATTTCTTGGTTAATTATATCATGCATCTGTTGAATATGTAAAGCTTGCTGCTAAAAATGTTCCACTGCTAAAATTAATAGAAGTATGTCAGAGAAGGAGATGTGTTGTGAATAATACAAGAAATGTTACAAATAATGACGACTATGGAGCCAACGGGCCTACTCCCACAGGCAGGAATTATCGGGGATGAATAAGAATTGTGGGATGACAACTGTAGTACTTGAAATCTTTGAAAACACTTCACACGCTTTCACCCTAGAGACACCTTGAGACAGCAGCAGAGCAGAGATGCAGGAGCTCATCCTGTGCTGTTAGATCCAGCAGCCCTTTGTGATGACTTCAGCAGGGCTGGGATCAGGCTGTGGAGCTGGCCTGAGGCTGAGCTGGGTGTCAGGGGCAGGATGAGCTCAGGCTTCTGCTCTCCTGCTCTGTGCATTGTCCATGAGAGCTCAGACCACATACACAGTTACCTCTTAGCACAGGGGTGATTGTATAAATCACTCCTGCCTTCCAGCTTATTATAACACTGACAGGGAAGGTGCCACCATGCTGGTAAAGACTCTGCATGTTGGAAGAAGTAGAGGTTTAAAAATGAAAGAGAAAGATCCAAATGAAAAGGCCCAAAGATGCAGAGGTGGCAGGAGAGGGGATGAGAGAAGGATGCTGAGAAATGGTGCCTGAACCAGCTGGGTGGGCAGTAACTCCTGGGCCTGGGTGAGCTTTGGGATCCAGAACTTCATGGTTGTGTCAGAGCAGACAAACAGGCAAAAGGATCAGGTAAGAGAGGTCTCATGTACAGGAAATGCAGTGAGGAGTTCATGTTAACAGCTGCATTTCCCTACACATGCTGTGTCCTGTCACAACCACTGCAGGATGGAGCTGTGGTGTAACAGCTCTGAGTTTGTTGAAGGAACTGGTACAGGGTGGGACTGGGGGTACTTCCAGTTAAGAGTAGCTGGGTCTGCCCCTCTGGGCAAGATCTGTGGACATTTGTTCCCTGAAATAACCCTCTTCCCTTCTTATGCTTATCTAGACCCTGCTCTTACTGACAGCAAAAGGAGTTTCCATTACATTTCTTCAGTTTTTGCTAGGTTTTCATATCTTACTTTGTTCAGATATCAGAGAAGTTGTTTTTAGGGTTTATTTCTTAAATATTTATCAGAACTGACTTTTAGTGCCAAAATAATGTTCTTGCTCTGTGCCTCTCAGTGAGAAGGGGAAGGTGGGCTATGAACTCCCAGCATTTCAGCAGGTTTGTGGTAACTACCTGGATGCTCATTTTCCCCTAGGAATATGGAAGTGATCTCACTTCTCTTTTCCTGAAGGCAAATTATTTTATGTCTACTGAAAACAAAATCATTGAAGCCATTATAACAAAACTCTTCTCTTGGAAGTTCATTTCTGCCCTCATACATGGCTCCTCTTGGTGCCAGTCCAGCTGAGTGTGGAGCTGTGCTTTCAGTTACATCATGGACATAATCTGGACTAAGGAAAATAGACAATCCCCTGGGTTTTATTCAATTTTTTCTTTTACTTGGGTTATTTCAATGATCCAGTTCTGGGTGTAATTACAAATTTTGGCAGAAGTAGCTCAGAGGCAGAAGCAAAGGTTGAGGAAAGCCTTGCTGCTGTGATAAAGTATCACTGAACCCTGACAGTGTGTGCTCCCTATCCAGCAGCTGAAATGCTTCGGTTTCATCCTTTATCTTACCTTTTTTAAACTTGTTTCTGTATTCCCAGCTAAGGCTCACTGGTAGCTATTGGCTGTATCTTGGGAATCATCTGAAATTGTTTCATGGAGTAACTTCAAACCTCACTAAAGCTTTTTTGACTCAAAGACCTGAGCCCGCTTCCACTGTCAGAAATGACAGAACTCTCTGATAGTGAGGCTGCCATGAAATTGAAAAGTCACTGTAAATGCTTTAATACCAGTGGATTTAGGGATTTCCTCAAGCACTTTATAGTTATGTTCCCAGCTTTGTCTGTGTTTCACTGTCAACTGTCTACTGTTCTCCCTAATCCTCCCTGGGCTTTCTGGAGCTCTATCTTCCCTTCCTGCTGACAGATAAAAATTTATTGTTGCTACCTTCAATGTTCTTGACATACTGAGAGCTCATTCCTTTCACGTAAACATAGGAATGTTTCAGTGTTTTAGTCTTGAATTCTTTAAGATAATTAATTCAGTCTATTATTCTGTTCCCCTTAGCAACCAAACATCTGAGTTTTAATTACTCTAACCTTACTGTTTAATTAGTTAAAGCTTCCTCAGCCCTTTGAAAGTTGAAAGTGTTAATTACTTTTGCAGCATGATTATTTTATATTTCTGAACGATTTGCATCTGGACGTTTTAACCTTCTCATATTTCAATTGATGGAGCAGTGTCCCTTGTCACTTCCCTCCAGAAGCCAGAGATGTAGACCAAAACCATTCCTTGAGTAACTCCCCTAACTTCTTCATTTAACTTCTGTCAGGGAGAGGTTTAGTATCTTCTTTGCCTCAGCTTTCCCCACTTTCTGCTGTGGATCCTTTTCAGGTGGTTGCTTAAATGGATCCCCAAAAGACTTGGGAATGGTGCTGCTGATGCATTTGCCTGAGGCAGAACCCACTGCCCACAGCAGGAATGCATTCGTGATGGTTTTCATTTATGCATGGAGGGACTAAAATTCCGTGCACCTTGGCTGATTCTAATTCCAGAATTCTATCTCCTGTCCAGGAACAGTAAATGTGGAGAAGCCCTCCTGTGCTGGGCTTTGTCAGAGGAAGGAGAGCAGGCAGTTACACATCATGAAGCTCTGAATATTCACCCTGAGGAGCAAAACCCCCTTGAGAAGTCAATCTTCGTTAGGGCAACGAAAGGGATGCAGACTTACTATTCAACAGTAGTCATCAAGTGATTCTGATATCTGCTCTTGTGAATCACCGGTATTCTCCAGGACTATTACTTTTAAATGTCAGCTCTTCACATCTCTGCTTCTTATCTGCCACCTCAGCCACCACGGATTGTTTCCTAATCACCACCGGTTAACTCCTAAACCCACAAAGACACACCGCTTCAAGAAGGCTTTTTTTTTTTTTCCCTGTGACTGATTTATGCAAAGAGAGTTGTGTGAATATTCACAATGAAGCCCTCCTTGAACGTACTCTAAGTCTGTTGTGAACAAAGAGAATTTGGTTGAGGTAAATGTAGTTCCTGTGCAAGAGAACCTTTGTGTTACAGGTGACACCAGAGCTGCAAGAGGTGTCAATGAGAGAAATATTTGAATTTCTACTTTACACTAACTTTGAGACGTGGAGAAATTATGACAGTAATAGAAGCAGGGAGTTCTTCAGATTCAATTTTCAAGAAAGCATTAGAAAAAATTTTTTCCTGATATAATTCCCAGTCTTTTCCTACTCAGCTTTGATAATAAATATCCCTTGAGGACAGCAAACATGAATCTACTGAGAATCTTAGATGAGGGGTTTTAATGATTTCATTTAAAGTGCTGTTCATTCAGTTCTTGCAATCTGCCTGTCTCTTTTCTCAATTCCTTATGTTTTTACTCAAAGAATTCTCCCTTCCAATTAAGTGAATGAAGCTTCGAATTAAGTAAGGCTGTCATAGGAAGTAAAATGAATATGACTGATTTTTATACTATAAATTGGAAGCAATTACCAGTTTTCTATCTTCATTTTTGCTTGGAAAATTTACACTTAACCCAGCAATACACCTTAATTAAAGGCCTATCTATCTATCTATGTAACCTTCTCTTTCTAGCAAGAGTCCTTCTGCGGGCTATATTAAATTTACTACGGTTTCATCTCTTCGTTAATAACCTTTTCGTATATTTTCAATTAAGTTTCTGGTCACATTACAGCACTGAGGTAAGAGCTCTGGCTGACCTTTAATAGGATATGGATAATAGAACATCTTTGGCTCATGTTCTCCTTTGGTAGCACAACCTTGCACTTCTACTGAAAACATCTCTGGAATTTGCAGACAGCTAAACGTGCTCCTTGCATGAAGAAATTCTATTCCAGACAGCAGCAAAACTGGACATCCATCCACATTCCCTGAGATCAGACAGTGCTGAAACAACCCCACTTTGTCTTGGTTTTATGGCAAAAACCAGTGGGGGATCATGAATGGCCCTCTATGTAAGATAAAAATACTTTGACTGATATGTTCCATATGGCAAGTCATGTTTCTCCCCACGTGAACCCACAGGGCTGTATTGTGGGGTAAAGGGTGAGAAGGACCACTTGTATCTGCATTCAGAGGTCAGTGCTCTGGTAGCTGGACAGGATAAGACTGGCAATTAATGATGTAGAATGATAAGGGATGTTTGTGCTCCCTTGAAACCGTCAAGATTTCGGGGTGGGAAGGGATATATTTGATATCCAGCCAGAGTTTTGTCAATATGAATATCTGAACC